CTACATTTTTAGTTGTGGCTACTTTCTGCCAGGAATCAACTATCGAAAGAATTTGCACTGTTGTGTACGATAGGTTCGCGTATTTGTCTTTGTTAAAACATTTGTCAAAAGAACATATACGCTTTTGGTTACCAAATATAGATACGTCTAAACTTTGTAACAAATGTGAGCTGTGACTCGGCATGAAAATGAGTTTGACGTTGTTCTTAGTTAACATGGATACAGCGTCACAAGTCAAATGACAACCAAAACCGTCAAGAATTAATGCTGCTGGCCCATAGTAATTCATTATTTTTCTTTTGTAATTCAGACTTTTGACGAACACTTCAGACAGCCATTGATCGAACAATGTGGTATTTATAAACGCCTTTTCGGCATGTTTAAGACAGACTCTATTTTTTGTTATACCCAACTCCAACAACTCTTTTTCGACTGTGACTGTAGGTACAATGAAAAATGGAACTTCACTGGTTCCTTCCATACATATAGCTGCCATCATCGTTGTCCTCTGTCCCGCTCTCTCGGTAGGATAATGGGTGTCACCTTCTCTTGGTTTGTTAATTACAATCAACGTCTTTTGTGCAGCATCGACCCATCTCTGGAATCCAGTCTCGTCACCATTCCAAATAAATTCAACGGGAATTCCTGTCACGTTAGTTTCCAGATAATTAAAATACAACTCTATTGATTCCCGTGTCACTTCCATTCTTTCTTGTTCCATTTTTGTCCCCTTTACCGTTGTTATTTTTGGACAATTAGAAGTGAAATGATTAGGGTCTTTATTGTTACATCTTCTCTGTACAACTTGTTAACAACGAACCACATCAAGTCGCTGTAACTCACAAAATTGTTATCACTTTCTCTTTTCTCAATAAAAGTGACTATCTTATCGATTTCGTCGTTTTCAAAAGTTGTTTTCTTTCCTGATAAACCAGGAAGACTTTCAAATAATTTAATTTGCCTTCTCCACATGAAGTCGTTTACACTGGAAGTAAGACTTGAAAAAAATGCCGAATTTGTCTTTTTTACTTTGGCGTTTAAATATTCATAGAATCTAAACATTTGTACTCGTCTCTTTGGTGCTGTTCTGTTTCTCTTCAAATTTAAAAACCTCAATACATGTCCCATTATTTGTTCAAACTCGTCTTCTCTTTGTCTTTCCAGCAAATAATCAAATAATCCAATGCAATCAAAAGAATCGTTGTTTAACACAGGCATAATTTGTTTATCACAATTTTTAGTCTTGTCAATCTCTGTAAGTTTTTCTGATGATTCTTCAAACTCTTCTTCATTACCACAATTAACTTTATCATCATCTAATTCGTCACTGTTTTGTAATTCGTTAATGATATCAATATTATTAACTAAAATCGATTGTGGAGTTGTGTTATGTTCTGTTGCACTTTGAACAATATCGAGTAAAGGAATCTCATCAAAGTGTATTCTACCATCATTTGGAAGTGGAACACCTTCATGTTATAAGCATCTTTTCAGCTGTTCAAACCCATTTCTTACAGTCTCAAATTGTTTAATGTAAAATAAGCATACCAGTATCAACTCTACAATTTTTATTGTTTTATTTATTGTTGACAACATTGTTTCAACCTTTTCTTTGATTTTGAGAAACCATTCAATGTCTTTTTGAAATGTGTTAATTGCTACAACTATTTTAGTTGTCGCATAGTTTCTAATGTTTGTATAATCATATATTGCAGCATTATATCGTGATAAAATTTTATCAGTAAAAGAATCAACGATACCAAATAACTCAGACATAATAGTAATTTTTGGATCGGTGTTGGGAATTGGTATCAAAATTTGTTGAAAATTTATTCCCTCGTTATTGATCTCGTAATTTCGAGAAAAGACACGTGGAGTTTGAGTAATAGAATTCATGTTAATTTTTATTAGATCTTTTTAATAAACAATTATTTTTTTATGAAAAAAACAGTGTTGGAAACTTGGAAATTGTCATTTTAACTTCAATTTAATTTGTGCTAACTAAGGTAATAATCATTTTTTTGTAAATTGAATTAATAAAATTAATGAAAAAATATTGGGAAAAATTTCTTTGTGGTAAACAAAAATTATTTATGACTTGATTCAAAAAACTGGTTATTTCTAAAAACAGTACAAAGAAAAAACAACGTTTGGGGAGTGTACAACGTTTACAGACTGACTCTCGATTTAAACATGTTTGATGAGAAAATATTTTTATTTCATCGGAAACTGATACGTTAATATAAGTGAAAACAACATAAAAATAACAAAATTTTATTTTAGATTCGACAACAGAATTTATATTATTATATGACTCACATCATAAAAACAATTGGCACTTTTTGTTTAAAAATATTGATTATTATTTACTACCGTATATCATTTTTAAAATTAACGACTATTTTTATCAATTAATGTTGTTAAAAGAATCATAAATTGTATGTAAGTGATATTTAATTTCTGTTTTGAACTTATTTTAAATAAACATTATTTTTATAAAAAAAAAGAAATATTGTCGAGAAAAAATATGCATATTATGTCATATTTTTCAATAAATATTGCAAAACAATATTACTTGTCATAATAAGTCACAAATCGAAGTTGTTATTATTTTAAGAATATGTCTGATAGATAAAATAGTAATAATATAATCATCGTTATCATATTTTAATTATCAAAAATATAACGATTTAAATTCATAATTATTTTATTACTTTTGTTTTGTAATATACTGTAAATAATTTTTTAATTATGTTTCTTCATTTTCATATTACAGATAGCAGAAAAACCAGAACCAGACTAATTTTAGTTATCGAATATTAAGAGATTTTATACAATAAAACGGGCAAATATATAAATAAATGTGTAATTTTCTTATTATTGGTCTTAAAAATAGTTATTTTTTGGGATGAAAAAAAAATGAATGTGTTGTTTTAAGTATGAATGAACAACAGTTTAATGTGAGCTAAAATAGTAAGTTTATTATTATTTATTATTATTTAATCATAAAATATTATTTTTTGTTCAACCTTGTTTATTTTCAACACACCCATTCAATTAAATCGTTTATTCATTTTTTCAAAGAAAATGTTGTAGTCTTCTTTATTCATTCGGTTGATTTGATGAGTCACTTTTCGTTCAGCATCAAAAGTGGCTCACGCAATAAATGAAAATAAAATAAAGAATAAATTATTGGAATGTTAGACATTCAGCAAATTATTGATGATTATTAAACGCGTTCAACGATAAGAGATAAATCAATATAAAAAACAAACTTTACCTTGGCTCGGCTGGGCATTAACAATAGAGACAACTCTGAATGATTATTTAAGAGTTTCATTTTTTTATAGTTTTTTCTATTTTATTTAAAAAACGCTGTGTTTATTAATAGTTGGTCCCTGGTTTTTGAAAATAAACCAACACATCCTCCAAAACCCGATTATTTGTTTATTTTTCCATAACAAGGAAACTTTAAATAAATTATAAAACAGCTTAATTTAGTCTGGTCTCTGGTTTATGATTTGATCACTGGTTTTTCCTGTATCTGTAATTAAATAAGCATTTTTTGCGTTTTGCGCTTTTTCCTAAGAAAAACAATATTTTGGCCAGTACAGGGGGGCTAAAAAACCGCTTCCGTCTTTTTAACCGCTTTTTATCGATTTAATAGTTATAAATAATATTAATATAATAAAATGTATAGTACTGTTTACCATGAAGGCTGAATATGCCTCGTGGAGACTTTTTCTGTCCCA